GGTACGTGTACCACTAGTGGTACGCGGGCTTCCTTCTAGTGGTACGCGGAGGAATTAAATATGTCATGTACATGCTACATATATTTCAAAATTTATCAAAAATGATGTATATAGTATGCCATATATGACATATAACTTATATTTCTGAGGTAATCTGCCACATTTTTTAACTGTGCAGAGTTGTAGCTGCTTTACTGGGCCTACTACGCTACTGTATTTCAATACTGCTCATTTTGGTGGTACTTGGAGAGACAATTTTTTTCTGAGGTGGTACTTGATGAAAAAAATTTGAGAACCACTGTTCTAAAACATTTAAATGCTTCTTAAACGTGTAAAAATAAATCTAAATTTAAAATATAAATATGTCCATTATATTTTTGTTATTGTGCAGAAATCTGAAAAAAATGTATACTTATGTGTGTGTGTGTGTGTGTGTGTGTGTGTGTGTGTGTGTGTGTGTGTGTGTGTGTGTGTGTGTGTGTGTGTGTGTAATTGAAGTCAGAATTATTAGCCCCCCTTTGAATCTTTTTTTAGTCTTCAAATATTTCCCAAGTTATGTTTAACAGAGCTAAGAAAGTTTCACGGTAAGTCTGATACTGTTTTTTCTTCTGGAGAAAGTCTTATTTGTTTTATTTTGGCTAGAATAAAAGCATTTTCTAATTTTTTAAACACAACACTGCAAAAAATGCATTATTATTTAGATTTTTTGCCTAGTCCAAATAAAAGTTCTTAAATCAAGAAGCATTTTCTAGGCAAGCAAAACATATTGTCTTGTTTTAAGAACTTTTAGATATTTGGACTAAAAACAAGGCAAAAAATCTAAAAAAGAAAAGCATTTTTTTTGCAGTGCATTTTAAGGTCTTACAGTTTGACCTGATATAACTCACAAAACTTCATCTGCAATGGTAGAGGTACTAAACAAAATATTATCTTGATATTTTTTTTTTTAATTTTTTACCTCAGAATTCGATTTTCTGCTGTAGTTTCTGGAGAGATTGCAAGACTGACTGGAAAATCTCCACATGCGATTGATAAGAAAACCTGAAGAAACTAAAAAATGTCACATGACCCCTATATTATCCCTGATTCATGGAATTGGTAATGTTACAACTATCCATGTGTTTCAACTATACCCGGTCTAAAAGAAAAATAAATAAATAAAAAACCTATACCCGGTCTCCCCTATGTATAATTAAACAGTTTCAGGAGATTATAATTATTAATATAGATCTTCAAACCCCTTATTATGCAGATTCCCATTGGAAAGATTGGCTGTTAACATGCGGAGTAACAACTATAATCTTTCTTTGTTCTATGTAGACTGAATGATATGTGACTGCGCCTTAAAGGGAAAGTTCAGCCCAGAATGAAAATGGCCTCATCCTTTATTTATTAACATTGGTGTGTTTTTTACACCTTTTTTTTTTTAAATCCTCTTTTAAAAGTCTCCAAAAATAATTCCACTTTAACCTTTCATCGTGTTTTTCACTCTTAATGAGGCTATTTGACCCTGTAGTCAAGTTATGACGGGAATCTCTCGGCAGTAAGTCCGTATTTGATCAATTCCAACCCCTAAAAGCGAAAAGCGTTTAACAAAGGAGAGAAAGATGACCGGACAGTGATGCCAAGCGCCTGACAGTTCAAAGGGCTTCCGTTGGGTTATCGCAGTAAATGAGTGATTTAGAGGCTGTCAGGCGTCAGTATTCAGTCTGCTTGATGGCGACTCAGCGGCTCACCTTTGATTTGTGGCCGTGTCGCCATGCAGACGCGCGCAGGTGTCGCTCCAGTCCGCGCGCGTCACGCAGTCTAGACGCTATTGTTGGGCTGTGAAATCCGCTGCTGGCTCTACTGTTCTGGAATTGACCAGCACGTTTATATTGTGAGCCTATTAGCAGCTACAATCAGTACAGTTAATAGCAAAGACTTCTAGTGTAGACATATTTAGGCCTATAGGCAAAGTAACGATTAAGTAATGAATCTACTCTTTCATTAAAAGCTTATTTCATTTTCATACTTTTTACTAATGTACATCCAGATAAAATATATTTATATTCATTTTTTTACAGCCAGGTTACATTATTCACAAGATTAAATGTGTATATTTTGAGTGAAGAATATATATACATTTATTTTCCCCCAATTTCTGCTTAACAGAGATATTTTTAACAATTTCTAAACATAATAGTTTTAATAACTAATTTCTAATAAATGACTTATTTTCTCTTTGCCATGAGTAAATAATAAAAATAAAAAAAAATTGACGATATTTTTCAAGAAACTTCTATACAGCTTAAAGTGACATTTAAAGGCTTAACTAGGTTAATTAGGTTAACTAGGCAGGTTAGGGTAATTAGGCAAGTTATTGTATAAAGATGGTTTGTTCTGTAGACTATCGAAACAAAAATTAGCTTAAAGCGGCTAATAATTTTGACTTCAAAATGGTGTTTAAAAAATTTAAAACTGCTTTTATTTTAGCCAAAATAAAACAAATAAGACTTTCTCCAGAAGAAAAAACATTATCAGACATACTGTGAATATTTCCTAATAATTTAAAACTAAAAAAAAAAAAATATTTCCCAAATTAAACATAATTTGGGAAATATTTAAAAAAGAAAAAAAATCAAAGGGGGGCTAATAATTATGACTTCAACTGAATGTATGTATGAAGAGTTTAAATGCAAAAACCTTTAAATGCCATGTGAAATGTTCTTCTAAAATGAGCATTTTTCTCAGTCTCTTTTGTTTATATGCTGTTTTTTGACTTTAAAGGCAATGAAAATAACCGATTCATCACCATAACAGTAAAACATCTGAAACGACACAGGAAAAAAATAGCAAAATGCTCATTTTAGACGGCCATTCCTGATGCCATTAAGAAACTTTTGCATCTGAACTCTTCATATAATGTTAGTGTATTTAGTAACATGAACACACTCTGAACAACATTTATTATATACAACATTTGCAGTGAAGTCCTGTATTGTTATTTCATGCTAACTCACAGTGCATGGAGATATGTTAGCAAGCATGAATTTGGATTTTAATAATGCATCAGTACTAATGCAACCGTATTGTAAAGTGTCACCAATAACATTAGTTTCTTGATGAAATTGACTAACACAAATTACAATATTTATTGTGATAATTAAACATTTTAAAGCACTTTATATTTAATTGTTATAGATATCTGTTTACATATTTGAACATTGATCCATGCAGGAGAAAAATCACTTATATTTGTAAGAAATATTTAGTGCTGTCAAAAGATTAATTGTGATTAATCTCATCCAAAATAAAAGCTTGTATTTGAATATACGCCGTTAACAATTTTTGTAAATTACACAGTATTTAACTGTAAAATGAACTGTGTTTCACTGTAGGACATTTATGCAGTATGTTACTGTATTTTAAAGTTGCATTGTGAAAAAACTGTGTATTTTACAGCAAAGATATACATAAAACTCAGTAAAATGGTGCTGTAAATGTAAATACAGTATTTGTCCAGTAATTGATTTACAGTAAGTTAGTGTAAATTCTACAGGAAATTGTTAACAGTCTATACATGCATATACAGTTAAAGTCAGAATTATTCACCCCCTTTGAATTTGCTTTTCTTTTTTAAGTATTTCCCTAATGATGTTTAACAGAGCAAAGACATTTTCACAGCATGTCTGATAATATTTTTTTCTTCTAGAGAAAGTCTTATTTGTTTTATTTCGACTAGAATAAAAGCAGTTTTAAATTTTTAAAATCTTTTAATTTATAGTAGTCTATTTCTTAAGAAATGTATATGAACTAAATAAGACATGAGCCTGTAGATTAGAAGATTTCTGCTGTGGTTTGAATGTGTCAAATTGTAAAAGTAGATATTTAAGAAAATAAATAAATAAATAAATAAATAAACAATATCCTATGTAATAATAATAAATATTATTATTATAGGCGTGTTCACCTTTAATTTGATAGGACGGTGAAGGACAGACAGGAAAGCATTGGGAGCAGAGAGAGGGGAAGGATCGGCATGGGACCTCGAGCCTGTGGACATGAGCATCTTTGTGCTATTTGTCGGCACACTTAACCACTAGGCTATTGGCACCGACAATAATTATTTTTAATAAATAGGATTTTTTTTATGTCTTAATACATAGCCTACTGTAAATCAAGCCTACAAAAATTAACGATTTATATATGAGATTAGAATACGTGTTAGCTAAGGGATTTTATATGGAATATTCTCAAAAATATTTGTAAAGGAAACATATACCGGTTCTATATGTGTCGTTTACATATACTTCAAATAATATGGAAAGTGAGGGCATGCTTTTACCAAAACTAATATTGGATTTTTTTTAATGCTTGTCAAAATCGATGTTTTTTTTCTTTTTCTAAAGTAGTTACTCCACCCCGTTTAGAGCGTCATTATCAGCCTGATGTCACGAGAAAACATAAGTATTTTACATTTTGCCAGTTTAGTGGCTAACTCGTACGAGTTCAGTCGGACGAATTTGTACGATTTTAAAAAGGAGGCGTGGCAACTAACCCCAACTGTCATTGGGGGATGAGCAAATCGTATTAAATTGTACGAATTAGATCGTACGAATTCATACGAATTAGCCACTAAATACAAAAGTTACGAATTGTTGTGAGATTGTGTTGTCACTATAGAGGTTTAACGTCATAACTAACGTGGTTCAAACGACAGATCTGCGACAGAGAAACTACAATTTTGTATTGCACTCGTCACTACATCGTTCTTTTCCCAAATGATGCATCGTACTATTGATCATTCAGCCGCGAGTTATGTCGTTGTTTGAAAATCGCACCCCAACACAGTTTTGTTTATAGAAATTCAAAACTTATGTCTGAAAATGAACTATAATAAATGCAAAATACTGTGAACTGTATCTGTGTGTGAGCGAGAAACAAACACCATCTTTTTATTCATCTCACATCGCTTTTGGAATGTTTCACAATTTATTAAAAAAAAAAAAACAAAGTTATTTTTGGGAACTTGTAAATCACAAACTGATGCAAAACAGTAATGCACATCAATACATATCTGATTCCTTGAACTGATATAGCAGGAAAATTAGTTTCCTAGGACTTCACACAGTGCTCTAATTTAAGTACAAAACGATGTATTCTGATCAATAAGGGGGTCGCTTGGCTATGTGTTTCTATTTTGGCGAACGTATAGTGTATTAAACAAATAAATACTAGCAGTAAATAATCTTTTAGTGGCTTTCTAATTATTCTAGCTCATAGAAATACAGAGCTAGATCAGTCAAAAATTATACATTTACATAATAAAATTCAAACATGCACAGCACAATTCACATTTACAAAATCCAATTTGTAAACACAATTTGTAAATTCACAAGTAAAAATCAAATGAATTTGCACATTTTTGAATCGTATTTTGAATTTACAATTTGGATTTGTCTATTTTTAAATCGTGTTTTGAATTTATGAATTGGATTTATGTATTTACGAATCGCGTTTTGAATTTACAAATTAAATTTGTGTATTTATAAATAGTGTTTGAATTTCCGAGATAGATTTGTGTATTTACAAATTGTGTTTTGAATTTTCAAATTGGATGTGTGTATTTACGAATCGCATTTTGAATTTAATTTGTGTATTTACAAATAGTGTTTTGAATTTGCGAATTGCATTTGTGTATTTACAAATTGTGTTTTGAATTTACGAATTGGATTTGTGTATTTACGAATCGCGTTTTGAATTTACGAATTGGATTTGTATATTTACAAATCGTGTTTTGAATTTACGAATTGATTTAGTGTATTTTTTAATCTTGTTTTGAATTTACGAATTGGATTTTTGTATTTAAGAATCACGTTTTGAATTTACAAATTGAATTTGTGTATTTACGAATCACGTTTTGAATTTACGAATTGAATTTGTGCATTTACGAATCGTGTTTTGAATTCACGAATTGGATTTGTGTATTTTCAAATTGTATTGACTTTACAAATTGGATATGTGTATTTACAAATGGCATTTTGAATTTACGAATTGAATTTGAGCATTTTTTAATTTTGTTTTGAATTTACTAATTGGATTTGTGTATTTACGAATTGTGTTTTGAATTCACGAATTGGATTTTGTAAATGATAATTTTGTTGTGAGCGTATGAAATTTATTTTGTAAATGTATAATTTTTGAGACTGATCTGGCTCCATATAGAAAAAACCTTATACAGTCTGATATACATTATGGAAAGCTGAATTATATAATTCAAATAAGGACACTTTCATTTTATTTATTTTTTACTACACCGATATAAATATATATTTATATATATATACTTTCTGTCAAAATATATGATCGATCAGACAAGAAATGACAAACACAAGTTATAAATAAGTGTCCACGTGTGGATGTTTTTGTGGTAAGAGTCTCCGTTTAGCGGCAGCCACACCCCTCGACCACCATCTCCTGATAGTTTTTCAGCACCACCCTGTCCGTTTCGTCCAGGTAAAGCATGGAGATTGCGCTGAGCTCAGTGGGCACGCAGCAGGCTTTGGGGATATTGGTGTTCACCGAGTTCACCAGTGTCTGTACGATAGCGTGATTGGTGGAGTTGAGATGATCGGCTAATGGAAAGGGACACTCTCCATGACAGTAATACGCCTGATATCCAGGCGGTGCCACAATCCAGTCGTTCCAGCCTACGTCGCTGAAATCCACATACAGCGCATGTCTCCGGCAGTTACGATTACGCTTTCGACCTCTTTGTTTAGGGCTGCGTTTCGCTCGCCGAGTCAGCGGGTGACTTTTGCCGTCATGTCCGAATGTGACCAGCAGGGGGCGTAGCTGGTCCCACTCTTCATCCGGAAGAGGATGCACGGAGCGACTTACACGAACATGTCGTCCCTTTTGAACTGGGTTTCGCTTCATTTGTACAACCTCCACAGCAAGGCCATGATTAGAGCGTTTTTCTTGGGTCCAGCGCAACACTGCAGGGCTAACGTCGAAACTTTCCCATTTGGAGGTGTTGTGCCTCACCAAACGTGTGTCCAGGAGCTGCGTGATGAGCTGTCCTTCCCGTGGCGCCTTCAACACCTCATATATGTTTATCCGATGCAAACCATGGTCCCCTGTTTGATCTGGGTCTGAGAAGGCGTCATCTATTTGTTGCCTGTAGACGCGAAGCTCTGCGGTGGATATGAGTTCGTCCTCTGGGATGCTGCTGAGATTAAAAACGAATCGCAGAGGAGTCTCCTGGGAGCTGTCTGACTGCAGCTCCTCCAGGTGCTCTAGAGGAGGACAAAAACACACCAGTCAAAATCAGAAACTGCTTCTTTACATCTTAGAAACCTGTTGTCTCATTGATAGTTGAGAGCAGGGGTGCCCAGACTTGGTCCTGGAGGGCCGGTGTCCTGCAGAGTTTAGTTCCGACTTGCTTCAACACACCTGCCGAGAAGCTTCTGGTATTGGGATCACCAAACCTGTTCCTGGAGGTCAGATGTTCTGCAGATTTTAGCTCCAACCCAAATCAAACACACCTGAACAAGCTAATCAAGGTCTTACTAGGTATACTTGAAACACTGAGGCAAGTTGGAGCTAAACCCTGCAAGGCACCGGACCTCCAGGAACGAGATTTGTGACCCCTGTTCTAGTATATCTAGCAAGAGCTTGATTAGCTTGTTCAGGTGTGCTTGATTAGGGTTGGAGCTAAACTCTCCAGGACATCGACCCTCCAGGACTAAGTTTGGTCACCTCTGCTTTAGAGTTTAAAGCAGTGGTCTTAAACTCAATTCCTGGAGGGCCACAGCTCTGCATCGTTTAGCTTCAACCACTTCCAACTCATACCTGTTTAATAGTCTCTAGTAGCCTTGAACGCCTTGATTTGTTGGAACAACTATGTTTGATTAGGTTTGGAACAAAACAGCAGAGCTGCGGCCGTCCTAGAATTGAGTTTGAGACCTATGGATTAAAGGGATAGTTCACCCAAACATTTGAAAATCACTGTTTGCTCACCCTAAAGGTTTCAAGGTAACTTCTGTTGATCCTAAAAGAAGATAATGTAATCTCTGTCATCATTTGCGCTCTCTTTACTTTAAAAACCTATTGGAGCTACATCCGTCTGTTAAACACAACAGAAGATATTCTGATGGATCCTGGTTGGTTGTACCCAGTCATTTTGTTCCTGCTATGGAAGATCCCACCAACCAGCATTTTTCAACATATCCTCTTTTGTGTTCACCAGAAAAGAGAAACTAATATATGTTTAAAACTACATGAGTGAGAGTAAATCTTGTGGGAGTTATCAATTTTGGGTGGACTATTTCTTTAAGAATGTTAAAGCCAGTTGCCTTTAACTTCGATAGTCGGAAAAACAAATACTATGAAAGTCAATAGCTACCGGTTTTCAACTTAAGTCAAAATATCGACTTTTGTGTTAAACAAGAAGTTTTGTGACAAATATAGGGTGAGTAAATGAAGACAGAATTTTCAGTTTTGGGTGAACTGTCCCTTTAAAAGGTATTAATGTTAAATAATGCAAATGGAAATTTGTTAAACTAAAGCAAAGGCTTCTGAGGAGGGTTTATTTCCAGAACCTTTACATTCACAGTTCCTCAGCGGTTAAATGATCTCCCCCAAGCCTTGATAACATCTCTAATCTTTTGAGGACGGTTTATGTGCTCTCATTATGTTTTGAAGGTACAGAGGTTTAGCCATCCAATTTCCTCCTACTAAGAAATGCTACTGGAGATACAGACGGATGATTAATATTTATTTTATCCAAGTAGTTACACTTTTAATAAGTTCGTAAGAAGCTATCAGAATGACATAATAAACTTTGGCTAAAAATATATCAGCATCTGCATCAATCTGCATATGTTTGCTTCTGTAGGATTTTACCGTACTTTACTATAGGAGCCAAAAACAACAGATGATGCTCAACGAAACACATAAGAAAGTTTTTAGGTAATAAAATAGTCATTTGAAAGAAATATGGCAGTTTAATGGCAGTTAAGCTTATTATATTTCAGCAACCTGGGTTGCCTTAATGGAAAACAGCGTTGTTGTTTTTTTTTCATTCAGTAGAGGAAGGCTCTCAAAGTATTCGAACATGACCAAAATAAGACCTCTGGTGGACAAAAACATCCTCCGAAATGAGAAGCAGATTCAGAGTTCCACATGAGGTGGTAATTAATTAGCAAATAATCTATACATTACGATGGTAAACATAAGGCGAGCAGTTTACATTGTAACCCTGTCTCCTAAAACATGCTACACGATGAGATTTGCAGTGCTGTTTACACCAGACGAAACACAACAGAAATTTACAGCAATTCAGAAGCACAGAATAGTGCACTCACTGCACTCCAACGAAATGATAAGGTTTATAATCTAATTAATACATATTAAACCTCTTTACATTTTTAAAAGTACATGCTAAATCTTATACAGTTAAAGTCAGAATTATTAGCCCCCTTGAATTATTAGACCTCTTATTTATTTTTTCCTCAATTTCTGTTTAATGGAGAGCAGATTTCTTTCAACACATTTCCAAACATAATATTTTTAATAACTCATTTCTAATAACGGATTTATTTTATCTTTACCACGATGACTGTAAATAATATTTTACTAGATATTTTTCAAGACACTTCTATACAGCTTAAAGTGACTTTTAAAGGCTTAACTAGGTTAATTAGGTTAACTAGACAGGTTAGGGTAATTAGGCAAGCTATTGTATAAAGATGGTTTGTTCTGTAGACTATCGAGAAAAATATAGCTTAAAGGGGCTAATCATTTTGTCCCTAAAATGGTTTTTAAAAAATCAAAAACTGCTTTTATTCTAGCCGAAATAAACTAAATAAGACTTTCTCTAGAAGAAAATATATTATCAGACATACTGTGAACATTTCCTTGCTCTGTTAAACATCATTTGGACAATATTTAAAAACGAAGAAAAAAATTCGAAGGGGGCTAATAATTCTGACTTCAACTGTATGTGTTGGTTATGATATGGTTGTGAAATGTCACAGTTCTAAAGTTTAATTTCAAATGGTTTATTTAGTTTTCTAGATCTAACTATCTGCTGCTGTTTTCAGTAGTATGGCAATAAATGATGTGTAAAATTGCATTCAAACTCCTATTATAAGCATTTAACTCTGAATAAAGCACATGAGGTGTACCTGAGGTGATAGTTGTTCACCTGTGAGAAATAGAAGCTGTTTCTAAAATAGAAACACCAGGTGTTGGTTAGGTCAAAAACTCCTTTTAGAATGGAAAATATTCCTACTATTGCGTGCCGTTTCTTTTTTTGTTAGAAAACAGTTTAAATCAGCCTTTAGGCTCGATAGTCTGGCACACTCAACCTCAATCTGGCAACCTGCTCTAGCGTGGACTCATCAGAGAAGGAGCCGAGTGAAAATGTGTATTGATTCAGGAGTGCAATACCTAGTTAAACCACTAGGTGTCAAACTTAAACATCTTTAAATTCAAGCTCAAGCCAAACAGTGAATAAAATATCAGTATATAATAACATAAAACAGAGCATTTAAAAATAATCTAAGCTATCATTTCTAGTTACAGAACTTGCTTTTGTTTCAGTGCACTTCTCACTTTTTCTTCTTTGTTCATTTTTCAGTCTCAACTCTGAATGATTTAAACACAAAGCTTACAACAAGTAAAATCTCCAGAATAAACTGTTTAACCATGCCGACGGTCTTGGGTCACTTTAGGACTGAACGTGTATTTTTCTGAAGCCTTCTGGGAAATCTGTCTGACCAGAGACCACACGGCTGGCAGCACGAGTTTATTTAGAAATCTGTAGAGTAGCATTAAAATAATTGCATGTTGAGGAAAGTCCCTCAACAAGATCCACATGACAGAGTATGAAGGCTTTTGAAAAAGCTCTCTAAATCTCATCGAGAGCACTGCTAAAATCTACTTTCTCCTTCAGTATTTCTGTCCTGTTTAAGTATTATCCCAAATATCCCAACATTCGTACGTCAAAATAGATTCACGGTTCATGTACATGCGTATAATTGGTTTTCTCGGTTTTGATCGCTAAATACAAAAAAAACTAACGAACGGTAAAACATCAACAACAAACGAACATAAATAAATGTTTACTTTTGTTTTCGTTACATTTAGTTTTCACACACAAGATAAAAATGTGATAAAGCCGAAATTAATAAACAGCTTTAAAATTAGTTCTGTGTCCACCAAAAATCAACCCGTGCCGTCATCAGCTGTTTCTCAGTTTGTGCATTATCTTAATTGATGGACTTTTGTCCAGGCATAAATTCAGCAACCTGTGCTTGCCTTAAAATGTTATTTTATATCATACTTAGGCATCTTAGCATGTCATCTGTTTTATTTTGCTGACCAGCTCTCATAATACATGGTGAAGTTATCACATTGCACAGCATAAAGCGAATTCATTTGTATAGTTAATTATTAGCCTCCCTTTTCCTTTTTAAATATTTCCCAAATGATGTTTAACAGAGCAAGGAAATGTTCACAGTATGTCTGATAATATTTTTTCTTCTGGAGAAATTATCATTCGTTTTATTTCGGCTAGAATAAAAGCAGTTATTCATTTTTTAAAGACCATTTTAAGGTCAATATTATTAGCCCCTTTATGCTATGTAATTTTTCGTTAGTCTACAGAACAAACCATCGTTATACAATAACTTGCCTAATACCTGCCTAGTTAACCTAATTAACCTACTTAAGTCTTTAAATGTCACTTTAAGCTGTATTGTCAAGAAGTGTCTTGAAAAATATCGAGTCAAATATTATTTACTGTCATCATGGCAAAGAAAAAAATAAATCAGTTATTCGAATTGAGCTATTAAAACTCATTCATTCCTTTTCTTGTTGGCTTAGTCCATTTATTAATCTGGGGTCGCCACAGCAGAATGAACCGCCAACTTATCCAGCAAGTTTTTACGCAGCGGATACCCTTCCAGCCAGACTGTGGGGGAAACCAGAGCACCCGGAGGAAACCCATGCAAAGGCAGGGAGAACATGCAAACTCCACACAGAAACGCCAACTGAGCCGAGGTTCGAACCAGCAACCCAGCGGCCTTCTTGTTGTGAGGCGACAGCACTACCTACTGCGCCACTGCCTCTCCCAGTTATTAAAACAATTGTGTTTAAAAATGCGTTGGAAAAATCTTCTCTCCTTTAAACAATAATTGGGGAAAAAAATAAACAGGGGTGCTAATAATTCAGGGGGGCTAATAATTCTGACTGTAGTGACCAGCAGACCTGACTTCAGTGTAGGCATAATATATATATACAACAGCCATAAATTCAATATGCAGAGTAATGTTATATATCAGTAATATAGATCTTATGTCATTCACGATTCAGTTTACTCAGTAGCAAAACTTACTGAACACATCCTTGATTCAAATGAATCGGCCTAAATAAATTATTCGTTTAGTAATATAATTACTTGCTGCCACCTGCTGGCATTTTCTAAAATCCAACTATCATTTTGTCAATCACCCTTTTGATCAGAAGGTTATATTTGAATTGAATCCTATTAAATTTTGCCACTTTAATTGTTATGTAAATGAATGTATTATCTAATTCAACTTTAGATGCAGATACTTGCCTCTTATGCAGCATAATAATGCTATAGAAGTCGCTTATTAAATTGTTATCAGTCTAAATTATTCCGATTAAATGACTGAATTTAGTTTTAAATATAACTAAACCGCATGTTTCATTCATTCAGTCAGGAAGGCTCTCAAGATATGCATCAGCGACTGAAATGCGACCTCCGGTGGACAGTAGCAGACTCTTAAATGAGACGCAGATTCAGAGTTCCACATGAGGTGGTTATTAATTAGCAAATAATATAAATATTTGGAATGTAGACATTAGGTGAGCAGGTTACATTGTTACCCCGCGTCCTAACAACACAATACGGGATAAGCAATTTGGCTGTTTGCGCCAGACGAAACCTGACAGAAATGTAAATACAGCCAATCAGAAGCACAGAATAGTGCACTCACTGCACTCCAACGACATAGTAAGGTTTATAATCTAATGAATACATATTAAACCTCTTTAACATGATTAAACGTAGATGCTGAACTGATGTGTGTTATAGTCACAGCTCTAAAGTTCAATTTCAGACGGTTTATTTTCAAGATCTTAGGTGAGCTATCTGCTGCTGCTTTCAGTATATGGCTATAAATGTCATGTAAAATAGCGTTTAAACTCACATTATTAGCATTTAACACTGAGTAAAGCAAGTGAGGTGTACCTGACCTGATCATTGTCAGTTTTCTGATTTTTTTTGGAGTTTTTTTTTTCAAAAACTCCAATATGAAAATATTCCTTCTATCATGCCCCTTAGCTTTTATTTTCTTATTTACCTTATGCTGTGTTCACACCAGATGAGAAACGCGTGGATAAATCGCGTGCAAATAGCAGCCTGAAGATTTGAGTTTACTCGATTTATTCACGCATTAAGCCCTGGTTCATTCGCACGTCAAATCCGCTTCATTCGATTCGACTCTAGCTTCGTTGCTAAATGGCTAACATGAATTTTATTAAGAAAATAACAGTGTTTGTGTGCTTAATGAAAGCTGAAAAACAGCTTCAATATGTTTAGGGCTGTGTCAGAGTCTACTAGATCCTTTCAGAGGTGCATCCAGCTCTGTGAGCTCATAAACTCCTCCAGAAACTGAACCTGGATGATGGAGGCTTTCAGCGGTGCTTCTGACTGAGCCGAGCCCAGTTTGATGAACTGTTGTCGGTTTCGGCTAGAGGATTTCCCCTGGGACACTAACAACAGGCGCTACGTGACAATCAGGCCCCAACAAGAGCAAGCTCCTGATTGGTTCACACAGTGAGAATGTCCGCATTAGTTACGATTTTTTTTAAGCACGTCAAACACGCAAAGCGCTTAATTTGCACCGCATGATGTCTATTCGCGCGTTTGCATTGACTTAAAATGTAAATCACTCGCGCTCGATGCTTCGACTGGTGTGAACACAGCATTAAGCTGCGGTCACACTGGGCTTTTCCTCCCATAGACTTCTATTCATACGCACGGGAATGCGTCAGACCGGAAATGCAGAGTCATGCGTCAAGTTTTGCAGGTTGCTGTTCAAGCTTGGTGAACTCTGACCTGCGAAATGGTTTTAAACCAGGTGTGCAATACGCTTATTTCACACGGCTGCCATTTTAAAGAACCAAAGCGAAGCTGCGGTGGGAAGAAACCCGGAAGTATAGGACGAACACTGTAAACATTGCAGTAACATGCCGTGTACTACAAACCTCCAGCTGTTGCCGAGATTTCAAAATGCAGAAAATGGTGTAACCATCACTTTAATATTATTCAGTAAGTTTATTTTAAACAATTAAAAGCAATTTAGCATCAAACAAGATCACAATCTCAGTGATGCGCTTAATGCCTAGTTCAGACTGCGTGATTTTAGCCCCGATTTTTGCTCGCCGACAGGTTTCGAGAAATCGCCGACAAATGCCTGAAATCACAGGCAAATCGCTGCTCGTGCACTTGAGTGACAATCACACAGTATGAACGATCAAAGACGCGATCTGAGAGAATCGCCGATGATTTGCCGATGCCTGTGAGATATTTGGCGTGCTGAATATCTGGAGCTGTCGGCAATTCAAATCATGCCGTGTGAATTGAGTTTTGACTGAAAATAACATCAGCGATCTCCTACAGCCAATGAGAGAGCAGCTTTCCCTTGTGTGCGCGTGTGTGTGTGTATACGCTCTTTTTCGGTTTATTTGGACCCACGAAATGGAGGAAAAACTAGTGGAGGTTTGACAGGACTCAGGAGCAACCGTGTCTGTTTGACGTTTCATACAGAAAGAAATTAGTTTATTATCAACGTTGAGGAGAAATGGCTAATTCCCGTCAAACCCAGGTGAGCAAACATGTACATGTTCTACCCCATTAAAGGCTTCTTTCTCATTATGTAGTTAATAACAAAATATATACTACATGTTTTTGGCTGTGAGACGTTGTTTGGACGAAGTTGTCGGCGATTCTCCCTATAGTAAAGTCATGCAATGTGAAAGTCCCTGTCGCCGAACCATCTTGCAGTGTAAACAAAGCAGCGACGAAACGCTAGCCCAGATAATCATGCAGTGTGAAAACATCTGTGACACGACTACTTTGAAAATCATGCAGTCTGAACTCGGCATAAGTGTCCCAGGCTTCAGCTCATGGCACCAGTTAAACACTGTGAGGACGCTTTCCTGCTTCAGTCTTTGTAACCCGGTGAGTGATAAAACACTGCAGTTCTCTGCAGCACACCCTCGTGTTGTCTGTGATAGTGTTGTCCTGGTACTGAAGTTTTAAACCCGGCTATTTCCCCGCTAACATGGAAGCGCTGCTGAGCGCGGATGTCTCGACTGATCTTCACGGCTTTGCGCTTCCGTCTCCATGTATCTGTGTTTGGTTTGCACTCAGTTTACCGCTCTTCACCCAGTGCAAACACAGATACACGGACTGGAGCGCGAAGCAGCCGTCAAGATCAGTCGAGCTCAGTATACAGCGGTGGGTGAACTCAGTGGCGCAAAAAGGGGGTATGCAGTATATGTGGCGCATAGGGGCGCCACACATGGGGGGGGGCGCCATTGTGCCAAAACCCTTATTAAAAGTTTTAAATAATAAAAATAAATAAATATGTTTTGTTAAAAAAAATTATTTTGCATTTTATAAAAATATAACATTGTTATTGTTTAATTCAAAATCATTTAACACAATAACATGCAGTCACACAGCCGAAAGTGTTCATGTAGATGTAACTGTTTAGATTTGTTTTTATTTTTATCAAAATAAACTGTCAAATCATACATAATGTCAAAAGTTATAAGGTTAATCTGAAAATTTGTCTTCATTTATTATTAATTAATTAATTTAATTATTAATTTGCCAAAATAAGAGGGATCGCACAAAATTTGAACCCGCATACCCCTCAGTAAATGTGTAGTTGCGCCCCTGGGTGAACTGATGACCTTCTTGGCCAATCACAATCATTTCTGTAAAACACGTGACCACAATGGCAAATCAGCGCTGTTTTAAGAAAGCCATCAACAGTGCCTTAAATGTTAGCGTGAAATTGCCGGTTTTTCTTTTAATTCAGTATCGTGACAAGTCTAATATAGTGACAGAATCAGTTTATTAACTCGAGTTTGATAAACGGCATCTAAAACGTGTGTTTGGGTAAGAAAACGTCAGCTAACTAGTGCCATTTTCCTAAATTTAGCTGAAAATGAGCTCTGATATCCCTTTTTACATTCACCATTCATTCAGAACGGACCTTCAGGTCACCCGGAAGGCGGAGAAATGATAAATTTGTGTCACTTTCTCTTCGCTGATAAGCTATATAGCCAGTTACACAACATTACTATGTAACTCCCAATGATACTTCCGGTTTTCTTCCCACCGCAGCCTCGATTTTGCTTTTGAAAATGGCGGCCGCGTGAAATCAGTCTATACCTAGTTTAACCACTGTGTGTCAAACTTCAGAGCACCTTTAAGAACAGAGAACTCATTTAGAACTCAAAATTAAGGTCTGAAGGGATAAATTCTAGTTACAAAAAATGAATCAAAAGGTCTCGTGGAATTGAAATGACATAAGTGTCAATAATTAATAACAGAATTTTCATTTTCGAGTGAACAAACCTCTTAAAGCAAGAATGACAAATGCACTTTTGGTGTGGTGTTTGATTGTCTGACCTTCATGATGGAATCCTCTCACGGTGTTGGCTCGACTGGTGGATCTTTCAGGATAGTCGAAGCTGACGTGCTGCGCTCCTGCCTCCTCCAGCTCCCCTGACTGCAGGCGGTAGAGGTCGAGCAGATACTGTGGTACGACGGCGCTGTGGCTGGGTCTGGGACGCCTCTGCAGGCCAAACATGTGCAGCAGCGTGGCTTCAAAGTCCCGCAGCAGCTCATGACTCTGAGCCAGGTGAAGAGCCGACGCTTTCTTCTTCCCTTCCTCGGGTATCAGACTAGCATAGCTGCTTTCTCCCAGTAGGACTTGGCATAATAAAATGACCATCAGCATTCGATTACCAGGAATCATGATGTCTCTGGTGGACAGGCCGAAAACATGGGAAACAAAAAAGCAAGGATGACTTTGAGGCATTAGCTTCAATACAAATACAAAGAAACAGTGTAGAACATATCCGTAGATACAAGCAGAGGAGACAGATTAAATTTTAAAAACAGAGAGACAGACCTTTTGGATTTATACATTAAAAGCAACCAGGTTACCAGGTTTAAACAGTGAATTAATTTTCTTTCCTTTTTCTTTTCCTATTTAAAAATTGTCTCCTATTTTTTTCATTATAAATAAATAAATAAATAAATATATATATATATATATATATATATATATATATATATATATATATATATATATATATATATATATATATTTATTTATTTATTTATAATGAAAAAAAGGTAGGGTACGACCTCCATGGTTCAATACGCGCTTGTGAATTGCGGTTTTCTCTCCTTTGCGTTTAAATAATTTATGTGTGTGCCTGTAAGTCCATGAGCTGAGATGAGGAAACTCCTCCCCGTGAGCAAATATCCAATCACTATGCTATAAGTTTGGGGGGGCTTGACCATCATTCCACACTTTAACATGGCGAGCGGCGGTGAAGTGAGGCTGAGGCAACAGTACGAGGAAGCGCCGGCGAAGTGAGGCAACAGTACGAGAAAGCGCCGGCGTCTTTCAAATCTGCTGTGTGAGGACATTTCGCTTTTGCCGGTAAGCAAACAAGTGAAAAGCATTCAAATGAAGATTTTAATCATAATCTGTGTGATTTTTTTCTCCTTTCGTGACTATTCAAACACATTCAACCACATTTTTACCTGCACTACTTTAGCAATCTGATCAGGAGTTTTTTGAGGTGATTTTAAGTCTTAATTTGGCCACAACGCTCACTGTGTTTCAGCAAATTGTGTGATTTTTGGAGACAAATCTTATTTTGACACATATTTTGTAAAAATGCTTTGAAATTATTCAAAAACTCAATACACTGTCAGCTAACGTACTACTCTTTTGCTGTGTTGGGGGCTGTTTTTGCCCCATTGACTTCCATTAAAATGACATTTTTTAAATGCAAAGCCTTGACACCATAGTATTGTGTATTCTTAGGCTGTACTCACACTATGTACAGTTGCTTTAAACCGGGCCAGAGCATGCTCCCCCCCATGACGCTTATTAAAAATCATAAAGTCCTCGTGCTGCAGGAATTAGGAGGTCTGCTGAAGGTGCAGCTGTCATGCAGTGAGGGGTTTTCGTCTTTAACAATCTACGGCAGTTTGTGTTCATTGAATAGTAAGAATGATTAATAAATCCATATGAAACAGTCCCTTAAAAGTCACGTCTCGCTTTCAGTTTCGGGCTTTGGCGCCCTTTGCACTCACACACAAGCGTACCGCACCAAAGCCCAAGTGAACCGTGCTCAGGCCCATCTCTTCCAACTGGGTTAGGGCTGGCCGTGCCTGAGCCCGATTCAGCGCAGGGCGGCCATTCAGGGCGGCCTGGGCACAGTTCGGATAGCATAGTGCGAGTACGCCCTTAATTGTTGCTGGTTTTCCCTGTTAAGAAAATGTGTAATTTTTTTTTGCTTTTGATCATTAGTTGCTGGCTTTTATATTGACCTTATTGTAAAATGCGGAAGTGCGCCTTTTTCGCGATTGTTTTAGAACTTCAGATTCAATCGCCTATGGGAGAAATGACTAGGAATAATAAACGGCAGAAAACGGTAAAACTACTTGCGCTACAAACAAATGTTTGCATGACTATCCAGACCAAGTTTAATAAAATAATAAGAAAATATCAGTTTGCAACATTAAACAGCAAAACAAGCAGTTTTTAACATCTAAAAATGAATGGAAGTGAATGAGACAGGAAGGCTCAAGCCAAAAAAAAAAAAAAATCAAATGGCTGCGCTTGCTCGTCATCAGAGAATAAGGGGAATTGAGCTATTTGGATTATAGTGAGCCATTATATAGAGACATTTAAGCATGCTCAGCTCTTAGAACATAATAAACATAGTAAGTGTGTATATGCACGCACACTATAATCTGCTGTTTTACTCCACTGAACATGTAAAAAAGACAGAAACTTGTTTTGCACAGGCCTATCTAAAGGGTTAAGGCTGCCAACTGATGATCAACAGTAAAAATTACAACTTTTACTTTTTCCAAACAGGGAAAAATCACCAACAATTAAAAAATGCACGATTTTATGGCTTTGCAATCAAAAAATCTTATTATAATGGAAGTCAATGGGCCACGAACATGGTGTTAAACTAATTTAAAACAGTCTGAAATGCATGTGACGCTTTAGAACGCAACAACAAACAAAACTGTGGTAGAATCTACCTTACGTCCATTTTTGTTTAGACAAGCAATTGTAATGACAAGGCAAGGGACACGTTCAATTAAACATGAAAATTAAAACACTAAAAATAGTCTTAGACTTTCCTTTAGTTACAGCTAAAGAAAATATAGTGTGGACGTATTTGCGTAGTGTTTTTTAACAACACATTGAAAAGAGTGTGCGTGTTTAAAGAATCATTTTCCAAAGTATAATAGAAATATAATCGATTCACTCTCATGTCAGTCTAAAAATTGGAAAAGGTCTAAAGGGTTCAAATGACAACAGATTAATAAAGGGACTAAGCCGATAAGAAAATTAATGAATGAATGAAAATAGCGTACTTATTAATATTAATGATCATAATTTCTGAATAGAAGCGTAATTATGACAACAACAAAAAAGTAGTTTTCACATTATTTGTCCATGTTTTAGCTATTGTAATTGGGTGTTTCACTGTCAGACAAGAAAACTCTAGACTTTTTCTGTTTTCCATATCAATGTTTTTGTTGAATAAATCATGCTTTTGTAACCCCGTCAGTTCCAAGCTAAGATCGAACCGGCAACCTTCTGCATGGGAGTCGGTTGCTCTACCAAGAAGGCTAAAGACCATGGCCTCTAGCATTGGTCGCTAGAGCACCTTTAGAGGTCAGAGGAGTGAGGTTTACTTGCAGAGCACACACTAGCTGGCCTCCGTTACACTCACCCCTCTACACCTCACTCCCATCCGGGTCACGGCACCAATGTACCCCCACCGGTCCTACACCACCCAACCCACTCCGAGCTGGTATCAAACCAGCGACCTTCCACATGGGAGTCGGTTGCTCTACCAAGGAGGCAAAAGACCATGGCCTCTAGCGTCTGTCGCAAGAGCACCTTTAGAGGTCAGAGGAGTGAAGTTTACCTGCACAGCACACACTAGCTGGTCTCCATTTAACTTTTCCAATATATTATTTTTAATATTGTGCTGTTTGACAATAAAAGCAGTCTTCAGTTTTCAAATGTAATGTAAAAGCTGGCTTCTGATTGGCCTGTTTATTAGTGAAAATCGGGTAAGCCTTTTAATTGGCTCCAAATATTTACTGCTCCATAATGCGACTGGAACGGGATAGGAGTGATCTACTCACCGACAGAAAATAAAGCATGGGGAAACAGTCCATGTTTGTCGAGAGGTGATGCAGGACGAGCTCCTCAAGCGAATGTTACGTGGTCCTGGCAGGCTGTTTGAGAATCGCGGGGAGATCCTTTTCCTGAAAGACAACGGTATATTTGCTGGTTAACATCTCATTACAGCAAACATTGTAGTAAAACTGTTTTATGTTGGCAAAACAGGAGTAAAAATAGCGACTAACATGCTGCTTGCGCAACACATTAGTTACATCCCGAATGACACAATATACACTCAACCATGTAGAGTTTCAAGAGTTCCCACTTAGATATGCTTAGCATTTATAGCAGGTTTGGCATGCTGTCCCGGGAGAGAACCCTGAGCTCGGAGATATTTGAGCCCAGGGTTCCCGCTCGGTCAATAAGTATATCAGGAGATCCGAGATCAGTTAGGTCTCGAGAACTCTCCCTTTAGAAAGGGAGAAAAAGGAGGAGATGGGGTGGAAGGGGGGATTCTTCCAAAACGAAGATAGAGCAGCAGGATAAAAATGATCCATTTATAGTAAACTAGGGTCCCTCTGATTGGATTATTACTGATTACAGATGAGCAGCCAGTAGTGCTTAATCACATCACGTGCTCCTCTCAAAATTAGTTTATGAAACTTCACTTAGTGTCATCCCAAATAGATCACAGAAAAACAGAAATGCCAGCCATTTCCCAGGCAATGTTTAACGGTTGCCAAATTAGTGAAAAAAAACACTATTGTACTTATGAGTCACATAATCACTTGTGTAGGAGAATTTTTGCTTGTACAATCTAAAATAATTTAAGTAATCCATCCTCAGTGTCCGAAAGCAATAGTACATGAAGTGTTCAACTTAAAGGGGACCTATTACACCCCTTTTTACAACATGCAAAATAAGTCTTTGATGTCCCTAGAGTGTGTGTGTGAAGTTTCAGCGCAAAATACCTTATAAATATTGTTTAATAAACCTTTGAAACTGAGCCTTTTAAGTTTTGATGCAAATTGTGGCATTTTAATGACTTTAAATTCAAATGAGATGCTTTTCAAAAGAGGGTGGAGCCACAAACACTAACGTGTCACGAAAATAGCAGAATCGAAACTCTAATAGTGGATAGCTGCTTCTTACTCAGGGCTGTTTCTGCTAATGATGGAGAGATTGGCACAAATGGGCGGGGCTTTCCCCCTTCGATGACACATACAAAGGGAGAATGTCAATTAAAGTGTCATCAAAAACATCAACAGCCTGCTGTGTTGCCCATTACATTACAAACCACAGGAGAGGACCAATTCTCCAGCAGGATAGCGCTCCTTCTCATACTTCAGCCTCCACATCAAATCCCCTGAAAGCAAAGAAGGATTGGCCAGCCCAGTCACCAGACATGAACATTATTGAGCATGTCTGGGCAAAGATGAAGGAGGAGGCGTTGAAGATGAACACAAAGAGTCTTGATGAACTCTGGGAGTCCTGCAAGAAGGCTTTCTTTGCCATTCCAGATGACTTTATTAATCAGTGATTTGAGTCATGTCAGAGATGTATGGATGCAGTCCTCCAAGCTCATGATGGAGTCAGACACAATATTCATTCTGTCTCCACTGCAGCAGGACTTTATATTCTATACTGGACATTATTTCTGTTCAGTGATCAGACTTTAGTCTGAGCAGAGTCAGATCTTACTGTCCTAATCAAATCATTAATAATCAAGGTATGATCATATTTTATTGTGCTCAAATAAGCGTCATCTAGAGGCCTTTACCTTTCATATACGCCACTTCTGATACCAAATAATCAACTAGAAGTCAACTTATTATTCGTTGTTCCTAAAACTTAGATAGGCGACAGGACTTTTGTCAGGAAGTGTACTATTTATACTACAAAGTGGCATGGAGTAGTGCACAAGTATGCGATTTGGGATGCACCCATTATCTTTAGCAGACTACCAGGTGTCAACACCTCAAAGGACAACCATTACAATTTACATACAAATAGAGGTTCGATGGTCCACAAAGGAGCTGCCTATTTTATTGATGGTCCCCTCTTTAAACAGTCTTTAAAACCCTAATTCGTGCATACAAGCGGCACCGTCTCGCTTTTGTCGACCCGTAACATTTGTGCCAAAATCAGGAGAGACATCCTCAATTGAATAATTTTAACAAACTGAATAATTTGTGTGGCCTAATAACAATCACAAGTGCTCAATCTCAAAAAACAACGTCATCGTTGAATCCACAGCTGAACTCAATAGCTGAGCATAGCAACGCATGCACTTTGTCATTTCTTGGACTCTGGTTCTTCTGGAGCAAGTCCAAGCATTACAACAGGAATGATGCATTTTAACAAGAACACCGTGTGTGTGCGTGTGTGTGTGTGGTCATGAGTGTTATTTATCCCTCTATCTCTCCTCTATCCCATTCTGTCTTTTAAAATAAAGCGTCATTTCTCATGCTAGTTGTACTTATATGTATTATATACCACCAAAAATCGGTGTTTAACCGAAGGCCGGTGGTTTTTAGATTCCTAACGTCTGCAATTTAACAACAACGCAAACAGCTCATTAACAGACTAATACAGATTTATTAATACAGATTAATAAAGGGACTAAGCCGATAAGAAAATGAATGAATAAAAATAGCGTACTTATTAATATTAATGATCATAATTTCTGAATATAAACGTAATTATGACAAAAAATAAGTAGTTTTCACATTATTTGTCTATGTTTTAGCTATTTTAATTGGGTGTATGTTTTAAAATAGGATATGAAATAAAAAAATAAATACAACTATTGTCATTTTAAGTCAGCTTTCATTTTAACCTTCAGACCAAACACAAACCTAAAGTTTCACAAACCTAAAGTTTCACAAACCTAAAGTTTCACAGTCTGTCTTCAAAATAAAGCATCATTTCTCATGCTAGTTGTACTTATGTGTATTATATACCACCAGAAATTGGTGTTTAACCGGAGGCCGGTGGCTTTTAGATTCCTAACGTCTGCAGTTTAACAACAACGCAAACAGCTCATTAAGTCGAGAGCAAACCATAAAAATGAGCGTAACTCAAAAGACTTTGATCGGCCATGCCAGAAACCATGCAGCAAAGCACAAACAATTGGTTCTTCAGACCACCTACTCTTGTTTAAAAGCCTACAGATACTGCCCTAAATATTTACAGAATCCCTGTTTGAAGACTCAGAGCAACGCATGTGCTTTTTAGCTGAGGCTGGGTTTTATGGTCCTTTAATTTGGCGCAGTCATGTAAATCTCACAGCGTTCAACTTTGCTCTACCTTAGCCCCGTTAATGAGGTTATGCACATGGTCCTTCAGATGTGTGTGGACAGGGTATATGGGGGTGTTAGTTAACAGAGTAACAGACAGTGCAGGGCTGCCAATGTTAAGATTTAACCTCTGTCGGGTTTTATTCACAAATCAAATCTGGAGACACACAAGCAGCATTGTGTTCGATTGGAAAATGAGATGCTGAAGTGTGACTAATTGATTGAGCTGTTATATTCAAGGGGCAGTTCACTCAAAAAAATAATCATTTGTGTCATCATTTACTCACTCTTTACTTTGAGAGTTTCTTACCAATGTTGAACACAAATGAAGATTCTTTTAAAAATGTTGGAAACCCTTTAATCATCGATATCCATGGTATTCGTTTTTCCTACTATGGAATTCAATGACTATGGGCTTTCAGCTTTCCTCTAAATATCTTCTTTTCAGAAGAAAGAAGCTCATTCAAGTCTGGAACAACTTGAGGCCCTGCTAAAAAATCCAGCTTAAACCAGCCTAGGGTGGTTGGCTGGTTTTAGCTGGTTGACCAGCCTGGTTTTAGAGGGGTTTTGGCCATTTCCAGACTGGTTTCCAGCCATTTCCAGCCTGTTAGCTGGTCAGGCTGGACAATGACCAGCTAAATCTAGCTAAACCAAGCTTGACCAGCCTGGTTTAAGCTGGATATAGCTGGTTTTGGCTGGGCTCCCAGCCTGGCTTGGCTGATCAAGCTGGTTTTAGGTAGTCATCTCCCAGCCTGACCAGCTAAGACCAGGATGGAAATGGCTGGAAACCAGCCTGGAAATGGCCAAAGCCCCTCTAAAACCAGCCTGGTCGACCAGCTAAAACCAGCCAATTAGCCTAGGCTGGTTTAAGCTGTTTTTTTCAGCAGGGGGTGAGTAAATAGTGAGTAAATTTACATTTTCGAGTGAACTATCCCTTTAAATCCACCAAATGTGTTGTTTTTTACTGGTTGTTCTCCAGTCTCCATTGCAAAACGATAAACAAAAGTATTGCATTCAAAGAATTACTAAGTAAAAACACAAGTAAAGTTTCCATCTATTTGTGTCTTTGTCCTTTCCATAATAAACTGTGATAAGAAAAGGCAGTGTGCTGTCAAAATGTAACCTTAAACAGCTATTTGTCCTAGTTTTAACCAATTAACATGAATTTTGTTGGTATTGATATCCACCGACAGCCTTTACTTTTGCATCAAGACCCCTGCTTTAGACAACAGCATGTGTCGACTTGTAACCACCAGTGGACCGGCTTCAGCTCTTGCAACAGTGTTTATTTTCTAATAAGTATTTGGCATGACATGCTATTTCGACAGTATCTTATTTCTTCACTTTTTGCTTTCCACCTCTTTGAGCTGAATCTAAAGATCCCTGCCAAGTGGCTCGTGAGGTTGTGTCCCCTTTATGCCATAATGTACCTCGTAAAAGATTTTCAGACGTGTTCTTACGCTTGACTGAGGGCCATCACTCTTCACTACAACTCATTTAAGACTAATTACGACTCATAGACATTCAAAACATGAGCGAGGTCAAATGCACTGGTTCAGTTTCTGACTAAAACCCTTTTTTTAATGCATTGAGGTAAAGTTGGTTTTATATTCGCACATTTAGACTTTCCCCTTTAATAATATAATTTCACAAAAGTATTATTTGCAAACTCTAAATAGTGAAATCATATTAGCAGCCAATGACTATCAAAGTACAACATTGTTCACAGTAAAATAAACAGCGTTAATTTTCAAGTCACACTTGCAGGTTATTTTAGACCGAATATTTAAAGTGCCGTGGTAAACAATATAGGGAGTTGTCACTGAACGAATGTGAATATAAAGCCAACTTAACCTCTATTTTAAATGCTAGCTTGGACTAAGAATGACAATATTTGACTAAAAATGATAACAACAGATGTTGGTTTATAAACTGATAGTGATCACTGACTATCAAGTAATGTTTATTTATATTTTAACTGGAATTTAGATACAAATATGCATATTATTAATGTTTTTTCAGTATGGCCTTCTTGAGCTAGCAGTGTGAATTGTTTACTAAGGCCAGTTTACTTGGAATGAATCCGGTTTCAGAACATTTAGAATTCGGTTGTAGATTCTAAAACTCCCTCATTGTTTGTTGAGGGAGTTGTTTTTGTGTATTACGTTACTTATGTGTTGTTTGACCAGGAGTGTGTTCAGCCCTTTGAGCAACGCTGTGTCGTAAAATAATGTAATATATGAATACTATACTTCTACCATCGTGATTTAGGATGCGTACAACAATAAAAACCCCACTAATGTGGTTTTAGAAACCACAACACGCACTTATTTAATTTGAATCAATGCCACACTGCTATATTTGTGTGCAGATGTGGACGCGCTCATCCAGCCGGCTGGTTGCGCGCGCGCGGTCAGGTGTTTGAGCGCGCCGCTGCTTCTAAACTACCAAAACACTATACACAAACTAATCTCAGTCATTTTAACACGCACAGTAAAATTTGTTTACAAACAGGAGTGCTCATATAATTGATGTAGCTTTTAATAATCAGACGTGAAGGTAGGTTTAATGATTATAATGGGGGCGTTCATGTAATTTGTGGTGAAATTGGTTTTAAATTCGCACATTCGTTCATTTTTGAACAGTGGTAACTTGTCTGACAAGCTCCATAATGCTTACCACGCTACTTTAATCGGTCTAAAATCATATACAAGACTTAAACGCAACCCATAACACTATTTATTTAACTGAACAATGTTTACTTTGATAATAATTTGGCTGCTAATATGATTTCCCTGTTTAGTATTTGCAAATGATATGTTTCTGAAATTATATTAAGGTTAAAGTTCGAATGTGCGAATACAAAACTCACTTTGCCCCAATTTTAAGTCACCGGAGAGAATAAAAGGGCGTAAATGACTTCCATTTATTCACTGTATCTATATATGCTATATAAGTATAGGTCTTCGATCACTTCTTGCTGTGACTCTATGGAAAGTATCGCCAGATGAATGCTGTTATTTTGAATAGGACTCACCATTGGAAGAGATGCGCACGGTGTTCTTGGATATGAAGACGGTAAAACGGGTCTCAAAGGAGTTCGCCTCACATAAACAAAAGTCCAACCTTTGAAGGCACTGCTTAGGTTATTAGTTCCGCATCACGTAGAAGAAGAAAACCTGAGTCCAGTGTGAAGGCGGGTGGCTGTAGCTCCTAGAACACTCGAGAACAGCACTGAGGACATCACCGAGTGACCCGCATCCAGTTCGGCAGGCAGGTTTTATGTGACCGCCCTTATGGAGCTGCTTTGCTCCGCTTTTCCTCCTCCCATACTCTCTCTCTCTCTCTCTCTCTCTCTCTCTCTCTCTCTCTCTCTCTCTCTCTCTCTCTCTCTCTCTCTCTCTCAATTTCAATTTAAATAACTGCTTTATTGGCATGACAAATGTATTGCTAAAGCATTTATAAAGTTGACATTAAAAAGCGCATACATACACAGTCAGGGAGGGGCAAAAATCCATTAAAATGTATTAAAAATATATCAAATACCTTCATTTTAAGTTTATCAAATTAAACTACAAAATACAGCAGCCACAAGTATCAAAATAAAATATTGTATTTTGAAAATACTAAAAAATACTTTTACTAGGGAGCATGACAATTCTTTGCAAACCTTCCATCAATAGGCATATTCAATTAGTCCCTTCACTAAATAAATTGACTGTGAAGTAAACAAAGTTAGATGATTACAGCTTTTCTTTGAGCTTTTCTTTGCCCCTCATTTACCTCAACTGTGCACGAGGAGGTATTCATTAAAATGTGACTTGTGTTTCTCTTTGATTTTAGTATAGATTTTGTACTAATTTCATACAGAAAGTCCTGTCTTGAAGATGATCTCTTTAATTACTGCTAAACTTTTTAATGCAGATAATGAGTCTGAATATTAAAAAATTGCCGCCATCTCATAACAGTCGTATATTTTAAAAGGGTGATATATGAAAAGGTTATTTAAATGTTTTGTTCACATAATTTGTTTAATCATTTTTTTTTTTTGCTTTTGAAATCTTCAATATTAATGTAAAATCACGATTTCTGAAAACTACTAAATCTTCAGTTTTAGTAATTTCCGTAAACCATGTTTTTTTATTTATTTTTTTTGCAAATGTACTTTTCAATACAATATAAAACACGACGGGCTCTATTTTGACAATCCATGCGCAAAGTCTAAAGCGCAGGGTGCAAAAGCAATAAGAGCATGTCAGAATCCACTTTTACTATTTAAGGGCGGAAAAATCTGCTTTGCACTGTGGCGCATGCTCTAACAGGGTTGAGCTTATTCTCTGAACGAGTTATAGGTGTGTTTTGAGAATAAACCAATCAGAGTCTCATCTCCCATTCCCTTTAAAAGCCAGTTGCATTGCTTTATTGCACATTTGCTATTTACATGGCGGACTTTGTAAGTGGAAAAACTGAACACTTCCCTCGAGAGAAAACAGTTAGAGTATCTGCAGCGCAAGAATGAGAGAATGAGCCTCCTAATTCTCTACTTTTACTCTCGTGAATAAGGAAAGTTGTTGTACACACTGACATCTATTAGCCTATACATAATTAGTTTAGTTTGTTAAGCGCAAAGATTTGTTTCAAAACTATTTCTAAATTCAGTTCTAATTTCCAGCAAACGAATAAATGAACAATAATAACGGAGTGCAAATAATAATACAAAAGCAAATTGTTATGAATAAACTGAACCCCCTTTTGTTGAACCTTTTATTATTAGTAATTGTTGAGAAATTTATTTGGACAACTTCAAAGTAGATTTTCTCAGTATTTTCATTTTTTACTTTTGTTTTGAACCCTCAAATTGCAGATTTCCAAATACTTGTATCTCAGCCAAATATTGTCTTAATAAATGAGCTTTAAGCATAATCTGAAATCACTCTATCTTTATCTAAAATACTAAATTAAATAATTCATGACTCTTTTTAACCGATCAAAAATCTGCTTACATGAACTAATCTAGTTTTTGCAAGTAACACTGGATAGGCTGGATCATCTTTTGTGGAAACAGTTTCTAACAAGACTTTTCGCTCTGCGCATTAATCTTAATTGTGTCAGTGGAGATCAGTGAATGTTTCCTCTTATTGTCCTTCATCAGGGCTGGACGTCTTCTCCGTTTGACCTCCCGCCCCTATAATAACAATTAAGTCCCAGTGTGTGAAGAAGCTCACGCAGACACACTCATTACCATATTATTTACCTGTCTGGGTACTGAGAGCCGGTTTACCCTCCCCCAAACATACGGTCACCCCCATACATTCAGAGAAACATTTATTTGTGGCGTAATCCTGTTCTGAAATAAACATTTATTTATTAATTTATTTTCCTAGAGCTTAGTCTCTTATTTATCAGCGGTTGCCACAGTGGAATGAACTGCCAACTGTTCCAGCATATGTTTTATGCAGCCACAATTCAGCACTGTATTTTATTAACTTACTGGCAGCACTGTTGCTAGCAATTTACCTCAACTGCCCCTTTACAGTAACCTGCCTGTAAATGTGTTTTACAATTGCAGAGCTCTACTGCAATTCCATTTTACAGTAAAATAGCCTTACCGCAAAGTGCTTTTTTTTGTTAAAATGCCCCCCCCCCCTTTTTTAGCAGTTTTACTGTCTTTATTACAAACATGCTCTGCTTTTAAAACGCTTTAAACTCATCAAAATCACAGAGTGTTGTAACAAATATTTTAAACCCAGTTTATTGGCAAAAAAAAAAGGTTCTGTGGACATGTGTACACATGTTATTGTCCGATTGTTAAATGTGACGTCATACAAAGCAACTTCTAGTGCTCCAAGTGCTCTATCAAACTGTACAGGGAGACTCAACAAAATGTAATAATAAACATTTACAAAGCTAAGTAATACTTTTGAAACTCATGACCACAATATATATATATATATATATATATATTTATATATATACATATATATATATATATATATCTGTGTGTGTGTGTGTGTATGTATGTGTGTGTGTGCGTGTGTGTGTGTGTGTGTGTGTGATATTTGTGCTATTTGTGATGCATTAAGCCCATGATTTATTTTTATTTATTTATATTTTTTATTAGAATATGCAAAAAGGTACATAAATTGGGATCATATCAGTACAAAGAAACATCAACAAAAACAACAAAAAACAAAAAAAAAAACAATAATAGTCAGGTACTGGTAGGTGCATGCATGTGTGTGTGTGTGTAAAGGTAACTTTGTGGACAGGTTATAGTACATACATAAGGGACAATAACAGTCAATAATAATAATAAATGACAACAAAAATAATAATAAATCACAAGTGCTACACCAACTACTACTTCAGAAAGTTACTAATATTACAACTACTACTGCTGCTACTACAGCCACAACCACTATGTCTACTAATACTGATACTACTACAACTACTACTACTGATACTACTACAGTGTCTACTACAACTACTACAACAACATCTACTACCCCTACTACTACTGATATTACTACAGCAATCACTGCTACTACAACATCTACATCGACAACATCTACTACTGATACTACTACACCAACAATGATGACTACTACTACTACTAATAATACTACAATACCTTTACTACTTCTGATACCACTATACCAATGAATAAAAATGCCCTTTAAATACAGAAGTGTTTTTTTTTCTTCTATTCAGCATGCCGTATGAAATTCCATTAAAACAACACTCTTCCAGCAGATCATAGTTGCACCAAATATTTCATTTGTCACGGGGGTTATGTTCCTAAATGAAAGTGAAAGTGGCAAACAGAAGTTAAAGTCGACAAATTAAAAACGAAACACCCGAAATTGCATAAAACTCTGGAGGAAACGTGGACAGCACGATGACGTTAATCGAAATATGTGCTGTAAGATGTAAACCGGGATCATGAAAGGAACATTCAAAAAGCAGCTCATGTAAACGCATTAATCATATTATTGCCCTAATTAGATTAAGGCAAATAATTTGATTACTGATGTCAATGTAAGCGTAGTCAGTGACTACGTTTACATGGACACTAATAATTCGATTTTTCTGATAAAAAAAATGTCTAAAAAAATGGGGAAAAAACAGTATTTATCATCTCACGCACACTGAAGTTCATCACACCTGGTCGGCAGGTCGCATACGATCTAGTCGCAGAAGTTCAAATATTTCAACGTATTCGCAGCTCATCGTTTGTCGTGTGCAGTGAAAAGGAGGCTTTGGTCCATTTCTGTTTAGTTTGATTATGACTTGAGTCAGATTACGGTCATCAAAAATCCAACCCGGGCTCATTGTGGAAACGTAGCCCCGCGGACGTTTCTGCGGACCGCGATTTACGTCCCGGGAGGAACGTATTCGAGCGTTTTTTTTGTTTTCGCGGATCCGCGATAGGCCGCTGTGCACGCTTTTTCGCGTCTCGGGCGGGTGCCTCTCGGGAGCGCGCGGCGTTTGCGCCAGCGCTGTTCTCGCGCGAATAGCCGCCAGATCGAAAAAAAAAAAAAAAAAAAAGCAAAAGCCCCCGTCTACGATTTCGACCACGTTTTCGGATCCCGCCGCGTTCTGGCCCTCATTTTCCGGATTCCGTTTTTCGTCTTACCTGATTTCCGGAACCCGCCGTTCCCCGGACTCGATCCCGGTCGTCGTCCACCGCAGCCGGCTCCGGCTCGTCGTCCTCCTCCTCCTCCGGGGCCTCCTCTCCGCCGACGCAACGCTGTGAGCTAGGCGGACAAACTGATTGCGTCTGGAAAGCCCTCCACTCGGAGGCGAGCCGTCGGCCGGCAAACGCGAAGAGGCGGGGCGGAGCTGCGCCACACCGCCCCGCAGCGTTCGCTTGAAAAAAAACCAAACGCGGCCTTTACGTATCTCCGGCCACGTAAATCGCGGTCTCCAGAAACGTCCGCGGGGCTACGTTTCCAGAATGAGCTTGGGTTGCAAAAATCTGTTTACATGGAGAACCCTTAATCAGAGTATTGTCTTAATCATATTAAAATCCGAGTATTGGTGTCCATGTAAACATACTCACTGATAATAATCAGAAATCATTGGGATGTTTTCTGTGTTCTGGCCTGTATCCCAACTTCACACTTGTATCTTCAGTGCAGTATGTCCAAATGCGCGTCTCAGACACAAACAGTGTTATCTCTCTTCCTCTGCCGCATCTGAGCAGAAGATGTGTGGACGGACTTATCGGAGCTGA